TTTCTTATAGTCAAAACAGCCCTCAGCTCTCGCGAGGTGATAGGTGAAATCACAATCCATTGAAAAAAATAAAATAGCCAAAAAACCCTGTTAAGTCCTTTCTTTGGATCATCAAGTCGTTCTTCATCATTTAGAAAATGAAAGATCTAATCTTACATTCTAGGTCTACATATAATTAATTTAAATATCATTCCTCTGAACTTTCCGAGTTGCTTCTTCACATGGTAAAACAATGCGATATTGCATGGAGATGAGGATTTGTGAGAAGTTTCCGACCAAAGTCTGAAAGTCTGATAGGAATTCATTAGAAAGTTCGTCGGAGAATTTGTTCAGCGAACTGCGAACCTGAACCAAAGCCTCAACCGAACCAGATAAAAAATCACACCTATAGCCCAAGCCAGATTTAGAGCCTGAGCCCAAAACATGATGCAGAATCAAATCTCCTCCATCAAAAACAATGGAAATCACAACACTTCCTATAGAGGTGTAAACCTATTTACTAACACCATTTGAAATTCAAAAGATAAATTCTGTCTAAAATCGAAATAGATGAATTCAAATCTAAATTTGAATCCTTAACAACTTTATTTACTGGTCTCTGCATCAGATAAAACCTTTGGATTTGTCCTGCATCACTTAATATTATGTTTTATTGGTAAGTTTCAACTTTCTGTCATGATGCTGTTTGCTTGAGTTTTTACATTTGCAATATCTTTTTTTTTAATTTCTGTAGAGGACTATTACAGAGTGACAAGTCTCCTCGAATGATTTAATGAAGTTTTAAGGCCAATTGTCGACATAATGCCAGCCACAATCTTGGTGCCAAATTCACAGATCAAATAAATCATGCACAAGATAGGTACTTGTCATGGAACCTAGTAGCAGAGTAGGCCAGCTAGCATATATGAAATTTAATCTACATGTAATATGCAGTAAATACAGTTCAAGCTTCTGTATTGCGATGCAAGAAAGAAGGGCAGGGCGCAGATTACTTTCTGCAGGAGCTGCATTCATCTCTTCAGACATTCCATAAGTGAAATAGAATGCACTCTTGCATCTAAAATAGGCTAAATGTTTTGTCCTTTTTCCCCCCTGATGCAGGTTGATCGACATAGCTCCACACTACTATGATCTAAGCAACTTCCCCTCATGTGAGGCAAAGCGCGTACTTGAGAGACTCTACAATAAACGCCAGAGAGAGAAAGGGGAAAGCAAAAGCCAAAATTAAATGCTAGTAGCTTTGTGTCTGACCATTGGATCCAATGTTAAGAACAAGCGAATTTGAAGTATGAGAAGTCTGCTGCTTACATCTCCTTTTCCCTCTCCCAACGAAGGAAATGATAAGTATCAGAAGGAGAATTATGCATCACTCACATTTTATTTGTGCACTTAAGTGGATATTTGAACCTTTAGTTCTTAATAATTTGCAAGCAAATCTACATAATACTGAAACTTTGTCTTGATACTTAAAGATGCTTAAAAATATTGTAGTCTTGATAGTTTGAATTGAAGTACTGTTTGTTTTTACCTTTGATTTTGTGAGGCTCTATAACCTTGCTGTTCGTCGATGTTTCAGAGGGGATTTTGTTTTTGCTTGCTTATGAACTTTATATGTTCTATATGGCAATTGAGATTTGAGTTTAACTAGTTGGTTTACTTGCTCCTTCATTTAGAAGAGAGCAATGTTCAAAGTCAGAAAGAATGCTCTTATGTAGTCTGCAGCATTTGATTCTGCTTTGTTATTCAGCGTTTTTTTTGGCATAGTTGAGATAAATTAGTAACTGGTGTTCACAATTTGGCTTTGGTACTTGGTAGCTGTGGATGTTCGAACGATGATATGATCCACTGGAAGGCATCCTAGACGTATATAATTTAAATGCAAATATGTTCATCCAATAAAAGATGGATGCTTTCATCTGTAACCGACCGAATTATTAAGAACAATTTATGAATAAGCTTTGACTCGTAGATAGTTAATTACCAGGAAATTAAAGCACGAAGTATATTATCAGTTTTTTTCCCCTTTATCGTACCCTTCACATCTGTCAAATTTACAATTACATTCCAATTCTGACTATTTGCTGATTTAGTTTTATATTTCTTGACTTTAGGTTAAAATTCCCCTGAACAGGAGAAGGTGTAAACGAACAAAACTACGCTCCTCCTTTTCATTAAAGAGAGAAGTAATAGTTAGCTAAAATAATAAAAATCTACAATGTATACATAATTAAGTAAATGGACATGAATAATACAACTTGGTTTGGCAGGGGATTTGAGAAGAAAAGACGAGAGGTGCAATGAGGTAGAGAGATGAACATCTCTTTTGGTCTTCACATTTTGTTGAAGGGAGACTGACGGGGTGATGAATCTTTTTCTACTTTATTGTTTTCTATCTCCCTGTATCTTCACAATTTGGAAGGATTTTTCCCTCTCTAGATTTATAGTTCATTTTGTGTTTTCTCTCCCCATCCTCACCTCTCCCTCCAAAAACTTTATACAAAACATGAGTTTTATTCCTCCCCTTACCTCTTCGTCTCCTACCAAACCATGCCTTGGATAATCTCAAGCAAAAACTCAAGCTTTCTAATTTCTTTTGGATGAAAATCGGTAATTAGATATCTCATCTAACTTTTTTTGGACTTCAATCTTTAAAAATATTTTAGTAGATCTAAAAATTTTTTAAAATAAAAAAATCAACATCATAGAATCAGATCAACATCCAGCTTATTTCCACCCCAAATTAGGGCTTGTGTAAAAGAAAAAAAATTCTTTTCCAAGGAACCACTGCTAATTTAGGTGTTATTTCACGTTACCATCTTTGTTTACTCTGAGTTTCATAAAACCACTCTTGTCTATTATCAATCATCAATATATTATGACACATGCCTTTTCCATCTAAAAAGTTATAGTTTGATAGGTATATTCATACATTTGTGATATGCACGATAAGGGCCATCATGAAAGAAAAATTAATAGAAAATGTTGATGTTCAAATCACACAGAATAATCTAGAATAGAATGGTTGCAGAGTGATGAAAGATGATGGAGGGGGCCGCTTCCTTCCCCGACTTTATGTCTTGGCCACTAAGTTAGAGTGAACAATCTGCACGGAAGAAGGTCGTGAGAGGGCGGGGTGGTGATTCCTCTGTGGTACCTCCGACAATCAAGTTAGTTGATGAACTTGAGCTTGAGTGGAGTAATAGAACTATGTGTTCTTATGCTATGTGCATTAGAGATGATGATCTCTAAGATTTAGGTCAGAAAGATAGTTTAGATTGCGAACCTTTGGCTATGGCGAATAGCATCTGTATATAAAGAGGATGTCAATGACAGATTGGTCATTTCAGCCATGCAAATGGCGATGACAAAGTGTGAGCTGGAAGGTGAGTCATCCTTTGATCTACATGTCTCGGCTGGCGACAGGAGGAAAATCACTTCGGCCTCGATTTGAGGAGTGATCGATGGGACGTGATCTAATAAGCAGCATGATGACGCGTGGTCTTTGAGTAGACATGATATGACTTGTTGTCAGGATGGATAAGCTCTGGCGAAGTTATCTTCTAGCTTCGCTGAGAAGCAATGTCCCTCATGACGGGACTCGCGAGGAGATTGGACTCGTTGAGAGGAGTGACGACTCAAGGGTTGTTGGCTGAATGGAGTCAGGTGACATCTCGTCCCGCCTTTTGATTCGACATGGAGGAGTATCGACTCGACTGGGTCGACTAGGCTCTTGACAAGTTGCCTGCTACGAGAGGGCCGACTAGTACCACCTTTCGTGTCAACATTGATGAATGTCGACTCGTCTGGTTGGCTGAGTCGGACTGCTAACTGATCTCTGGCTATCTCTTCCGTCGGTCGAGATGTCGACTCGTTTGGGAGGTCAGGATGTCTCGTGCCGATTAGCACCGCTTCTCGTGTCGACACTGGGGTGTCGGCTTGTCTAGATGGATGGAGATGACGACTCATCAGATCATATATTTGGATTGCGAATATTTGGCTATGGCGACTCATCTGGGAGGTCAGGAGAGTTTAGATTGCAAATATTTGGCTATGACGAATAGCATCTGTATATAAAGAAGATGTCAATGGCAAATTGGTTATTTCTGATACGGGTGTATCTTCTCTTCAAAACTTAGCGATCCTTATGTGAGCTTGAGGATAGATGATTCTCATGATAACATGAGAATAGAGGTGTCATACAATACAAGGGAACACAAGAGGAAGCGTGGAACGAGACGACGAGCAGAAGAATCAAAGTATCCAGTTTTCAACCTGTGAGTCGACTCATAACAGTCATGAGTCGACTCATCGGGTTGAGTCGACTCATGACTGTCATTAGTCAACTCATCGCTAGTTTTTTAGTTTTGTCCAATTTTGGACGAGTCGACTCATCTCAGTCATGAGCCGACTCATCGATGGTTTCCTGGTTCGTTTGGGTTTCTGTTCACACGAATTCCTGTTGATTTTGGGTCTGGTTATTTACCAAATTGCCATCCATGTTTGTACACCTATATAAAAGATTGTTTTAGGGTTTCTAAACAATCAGGGAGAATAAGATAGAATCAGAGAGAATCAGATAAATTCAGAGAGAGATTCTAATCTTTGTATTAGGGTTTAGTGAGAATTGAGAGTTTGTTCTCGATTCTAGTAAGATTGTGAGAGAGGGATTGTAATCTTTTGATACTCATAATCTAGAGAAGATATTTTTCTTCGCCATATACTGAATTGTGCTTGTGTTTCTGTCATCCTCTTCTCAACCCACCTTTGATAATTCCGCGATCAAAGGTGCTCGCACGGCAACTCGTATCAAGTTGGTATCAGAGTATCAGATATGGTGAAGGGGCATCCTGTGTATGGTCCTTAATCGATCCCAATATAAGAAGCTTGGTGAGATCCTTATTTCATTGGAAGAAATCCAGGTTTTAAGAAAGAAGAAGATGGCTGAAGGAGACAATTCAGTGAGGATTGATGCATTGAAGAAGCAGATTGAGACGATAGGTTCGACTCTCACACAACTCATCAGTCTTATCCATGGAGGTGGCAAACAAGGTGAATCTTCTTCGAAGAAAATTATTGAGTCCGATGTGGAGAGAGTAGATTCAGATTCCGACGAGGAGGAGGAGACCGTTAAGACTGCATTGCATCAAAGGGGTAAGAATTCTTATCAGAACCTGAAGATTGACTTCAAGGTGGAGATTCCTGTTTATGATGAGAGTGTTAACATCGAGAGGCTTGATGACTGGATCGAGCGGATGAAGACGTATTTTACTCTTTATGGCTATTCGTCGAAAGAGAAGATTATGTTCGTGACTTTGAAGCTTTCAGGGCACGCGTTGACGTGGTGAAAATCTTACTGTAAGCAGGAGAAGAAGGCGGTGTCGTGAAACAAGTTCAAGGAGTTACTGAGGAAGTAGTTCTACCCGGTGGGATTCCTTGAAGAGCGTTGGTACAAGTGATATGGCTTGCGCCAAAAGGTCAATCAAACCGTTCAAGAATACACTACGGAGTTCCAGCAGCAGGCGATGGTCCTCAACATTACGACAGAGGAATATTCCGTGTTTATGAAGTATATGGCGGGATTGAGTGATTACATCTGAAAGGAGATGAAGTTATTCACGGTCGAGACTATTACAGAGGCGAGCGTGAAGGCCATTGCCATTGAGGGCAGGCAAAAGAAGGGCAACGAGGCTAAGGGAGACTCCAAACAGACGGGAGGCGGGTCTAGTGGTTCTCAATCTAAGGAGGAGAAGAAGAAGGGTGATCCAGGGAAAGCAGGGCTGATTTGTAGTCACTGCGAGAAGACAGGGCACACAGCTGATCGGTGCTGAGAGAAGTATCCTCATCTCAAGCCAAGAGGGTTAAAGAAGAAGGAGGAGAAAAAGGCATACATGATAGCTCAAGGTTCGAAAGAAGTCCCGGGGATAACAGAGCCCAACAACAGTCTCAATCTTATGACAGGGAAGCAGACCACGAAAGAGGACGATGACCCAAGAGAGCAACTCTTTGTTCTTAAGTTGCAAGTGAAGACCAGTTTGGTTGATGCCATTGTTGATTCGGGCAGCGAGAAGAATTTGATATCCGAGGCATTGGTTCAGAAGCTGGGTCTGAAGATGGCCAAGCATCTGAAACCCTATCCATTAGGATGGATTCAGAAGGAGGAGAGACTGAGTGTAGTTGATCAATGCACTGTCAGATTTGCGCTCTACGAGTTGTATATTGACGAGGTCACGTGTAATGTTGTTTCATTGGATGTTTGTCAGATTATATTAGGCAATCCGTACTTATGAGATAGATATGCGATCTACGAGAGGCGGGCTCAGAAGTACACCTTCACTAAGGATGGTGTAAAGTTCATATTTCGTTCGGCATCTCTTCCGAAGAAGACAAGCTTGGGGACGGTAACGCGAGCGAAGAGACTAGTGAATGCAAGCAAGAAGTTTATCTCGTTGTGCATTAGACTTCTAGAAAAGCCATCGACAAAGGGTTGCAACTTAGAACGAATGGTGACTATGACGAGACGTGAGACGAA